CTAAAAAGACCCACATCCAATCACTGTGATTCAAGAAATGTGGCCCAAGTAAATAAGCTGGGTTTAAAGAGTTTTTTTATAATAAAATACATTATATAAAATCCACAGAATAGTACATTAACATAACTGATAGAAAAACAGATTTAAAAATGGACCATTTGACCTATTCTCTACCATATATACCTATTTGGTAATTATGTATAGTAAAGTGATATGTGAACTATAAGCCTATCACTAACATAGACGTGAACTTGAATAAAGCTCAGTCCGGAACAGAGCTAGGACTTGAATGGCTGCAGAGTAGTGAGGAAGCGATGGCCACAGGGTGTAGCCATGTGGGAGGAGGGCGCTAGCGAGCAATAGGCCTTTACCTCCCCAGCTGACGGAACCTGCAGCCCAACCATGTAGTTCTGCAGGGGCCCAACGGGCATGAAGGACTCAGGCACGGAGTAGGCAGCCTCCAGTGTGACCTTCAAAAGGTTGCCCCCTAAGATCTGGGCAGTCGTCAGTAACGGCTCTGGCACAGATACTTTCACTTCAAGACTGCACTGCTGGAAAAGAATGAAATGATACAGCATTTTTAAATTGTGCAAGATCAGTCACCCCCACTTTTAAAACAAAACCACCACCACAAAAAACATTACCTCCTGTGAGTATCAGCGGTGTCTGAGGTAAGGCGAGCAAGCCTCCTTCTTTCCATATTGAGCATTGAAATAATTTCCTTTAACTACCCATGAGTTAAAGACAGAGCCAAGAGAAGCTCCTTCTCTCTAAGATTGAGCTCTGCTGACTGTACCGTTTGAGGGTCAAATGCGAGGACAAATATACAGAAGAGAATTGGAAGGTTCTATATGCGATGCAGTGTTTAATCCATCAGCTGCTAACTGAAAATCAGCACTTTTATAACCTAGGAAACCCTGTGGGACGGTTCTGCCCTGTCCAAAAGCGCCACTAAGAGTCAGAATCGACCAGTGGATTGGTTTGGTTTGGTTTACACTGACATGCAAATAGTAATTGCACAAGACTTGTGAGCTAGGGGTGGTTTTTACTAGCCTGTTCTTATGATTTCTCAAAAACCAAAAGTGTTTATAATGAGAAAAATTTTTCATACATCATATGCAGAAATTAACTCCAAATGAATCAAGGGCCTACATGTAAAAACTGACTAACATTCCTAAAGAAAACCTGGGGGTAATGCTTCAGAATTAGTTCTTAATGAATTCATCGATGTGACACTAAAATCATGAGCAACACAAGACATAACTGACAAATTGAACTCGTTTAAAATAAAAATTGTCCAGCAAGGGACTCTCTCAACAAATTCAAGAGAGCCTAAACGTTGACAGAAACCTTTGGGAAAGCACCTGTTGAGTGTTCGTTGTTAGGTGCCAGCAGGGTGTGTCTGACGCAGAGACCTGTACGACAGTATCAGCCACTGCTGGGCTCCGCTCCGTCCTCACAAGTCTGATGCTTGAGCCGCGGATGCAGCCACGGCATCCATTCACCTCCGCGAGCTCCTCCTCTCTTTCGCTGCCCTTCCACTTTACCAAGCATGCTGTCTTTTTCCAGGGACTGGTCTCTCCTGGTAACATGTCCCAAATATGTGAAATGAAGTCTTGCTATCCCTGATTCTAAGGAGAACTTCT